ACAATCAACAAAATTATTTACAAAAACCAATAGGAAAAGAAGAAGAAGACAAAAACAACACGGGCCAGCAGAAGCAGAAAAAAAAGAAATTATTTCCAATAGACGAAGACAAAATAAATAATAGAAGAACGCACAAAAAGAATAATAGCAACAACAACAACTACAATGACAACATGAAATGTTGATAAAGTTGATTAAACATTATTCAGTTAGCTTAGATGTTTTGGAGGTGCTGCTGCTGCTGAAAAGAAGAAATTAGAGATGATGAGCTCTGATGAATTAACATAAAATTTGGATAGGTGTCGAGCTGTCGATTGGTCGTTCGGTCGGCCAAAGGTAAATAAAGTTTGGCATACATCCTACTTCGAGTAACATATGTATGTAAACAACATTTTGAGCACATACAGAGGTCTATCTATTGATTCGAAAAGAGATGAGTGGGTAGTCCACAACAGCAGCAGCCAAAGAACAACCATCAATATCATCCATCAGTTGAATGGGTGGAAAGACATTATGGTTGACGATGATGATGATGATGATATTATCGCAAACACAAGTGTTAAGTCTGGAAAATGAGCTATTGTTGTTGTTGTTGTTTTGTTTTTCTATTGTGATCCGAATGTGCGTGTTCGAGGTGAATGTGATAAGTTTTATGATATTAAATATTTGAGGGAGATATGTACAATCATTGCTTCTAAAAATTGGGAACTAGATAACTTTATTAGCCTGCAAGGTCCCCACACCTACATAACGGGTCTCAATATAAATATATCATCAACAACATGTAGGATTTTCTGGGGTCAGGAATGAAAATTTTTAAAAATATGATTTTGAGGGAAACTTTCCATGGCGAAAGGGTTGAGAAGGGAACTAGCTTTCTTTGAAAGATATATTTGTTGCAGGATGTTGTACATTTCTTCCATACAAGGGAAAGCCATAACACAATTCCTTTTATCTGAAAAATGTGTTTCAAAGGCACTATTAACAATAGCATTCTAGAATGATCAAACACTTGTAAGCTAATTTTTCCAAACAAGGAATTATGGTAACATAATTCCATTAAAGGGGAAAATATTTGCTGGGATATCGTACACATTTCTTTTTTACAGCGAAAATGTCTTCAAATAAATATTTAAGCTTTGAAAGATCAATGCAGTTAGACAAACTCCAAAATTTTTTTACAACGGCCTTCCGTTGTATCGTATATTTGTAGTCAACGATATTCCCGAACATGGACAGGAGGTAGGAAATTTCCATCAAAGGAAAAAATGTCTGTTAGGAAGTTCTCCACATTTCCCTCTCACAACGATAGTGTCTCAAGAAAAGCTTTACGCCTCCAAAACGCAATTCTACATTTTTAGCGTTTACCCATTTTTTGCAAGGTGGACCTTCGTCGATTATTTTCTTGAACAAGGATTTGAGGTAGCAGATTTCCATGAGAGAAAAAAATGTCAGTTGGGAGGTACTCTACATTTCACTCTCACAACAAAAATGTCCCCTATAAAACTTTAACCATCGAAAGTTCAATGCAATTAGCTATTTTTTATCAACGATTTTCCCGAGCATGGATATGAGCTAGCAGATTTCCATCAAAGGAAAAAATGTCTGTTGGGAAGTCTTCTTCATTTCTTTTTCACAACGAAAGTGTCTTCAAAAAAGCTTTTAGGGTCCAAAGCGCAAATGTATAAACTCTATATTTTTAGCGATTATCCATTTTTTGGAATGTGAATTTTCGTCGTTCATTTTCTCGAACAAGGGAGTGAGGTGGCAGATTTCCATCAAAAGAAAAAATGTCTGTTGGGAGGACCTCCACATTTCTTATTCAGCACAAAAGTTTCTGAAAAATAGCTAATTAAAAATAAAATGAAAAAAGCAATTAAAATAGACTAACCCTACATTTTTAGCGGTTATCCGTTTTTTTTTTTTGGCAAGGTGGACTTTCTTGAAAAAGGATTTGAGGTAGCAGATTTTCAATAAAGGATAAAATGTCTGTTGGAATGTTCTCTACATTTCACTCTCACAGCAAAAATGTATACAATAAAGATTTAACCATCGAAAGTTGCATGCGGTTAGACAAACTCCAATTTTTTTAGAACAGCCTTCCGTTGTATAATAATAATATATTTCGAATATTTTTTATTAACGATTTTCCCGAGCATGGACATGAGCCAGGAGATTTCCAACAAAGGAAAAAATTGTATGTTGGGAAGCCCTCCGCACTTCCCTCTTAAAACGAAAATTTCTTAAAAAAAGATTTAAACGTCCAAAACGCAATTAAAATAGACAAACTCTAAATTTTAAGCGAACAAGGGGGGAGGTAGCAAATTTCCATTAAAGGAAAAAATGTCACTTGGGACATCCTCTACATTTCACTTTCACAGGAAAAATGTTTACAATTTTGCCGACCAAGCAGATTAACATCAAGGAAAAAATCACATTTGGGGGACCTCCTCCTCATTCCTTTTTCATAACGAATGTTTCTCAAAAATAGCTTTAAGGATTCAAAACGCAAATTAAATTGACAAAATCTATATTTTTAGGGTTTTTTACGACTTCCTTGAACAAGGGGGTGAGGTAGCAGATTTCCATTAGAGAAAAAATGTTGGGAGGTCTTCTATATTTCACTCTCACAGAAAAAATGTCTACAATAAAGCTTTAACCTTCCAAAGTGCATTGCAATTAGAGAAACTCTACGATTTCTCAACAAAAAAGCTTTAAGCCCCCAAAGTGCAATGCAATTAGATAAACTCTACATTTTTTAAATAATCTTCGTCTTTCATTTTCCCAAACAGATTCGAATTAAAGGCAAAAATATCTGCTGGAATATCCTCCACATTTCATTCTGCCAATGAAAATGTCTGAAATAGGCCTTTAAGCTTGGTAAGTGCTATAGAAACAGAAAAATTGCAAAATCTTTAAAAGTGTCTCTCTTGAAACCGTTTTTTACAATTGGATTTTAGTCAAAAAGGAGCTGAGTGTGGGGAGTGGTGTCTTTGGGAGAAACATAGCCCAGGGTTTCCCCTTCATTCCATTCTCACACAATAGGGGTTTATAATAACATCTTATATCTCCAAATATCTATAATTTCTACAGAGATCTTTCTTTGAAACAATTTTAAAAATTTGAAAAAATTAGAATTTTTAAAAAGTATTTTCTTGCTATAATCAAGAATTTAAAAAAAAAATATTTTTTCCAATGATTTCTATTTAAAAACGTATTTTCTCGAACCTGCTATATTTTACCTCATATATTTGTCTGATAATTCAAACACCCATTTAAGTTGTGTGTGTGGCCAAGAACTCATGTCATCAGACACACATACATACGCTACTAACGATTTCTGGGCCAATCGAAGGGTCAAGTTTGATGAAAATATTACAACCAAGAATCTAATGATTTAGCAAAAATCTCGTCTCTGTTTTTTGTTCTATAGAAACACATAGCATTCGCTCGCTTACAATGTTGGGTAAAAAATTATAATTTTTAGTTTTTTTGTTTAACTGAATATAAATTTATGTAAATTATAGTTAAGATTTACTTTGAAAGTCAAAGCCAAATTAGAAAATACCGACGTAACGGTTAAATAAACTAGATTTATTATAAATAAATATTTATGATATTGAAAATATGTAATGAATGCAGACCCCTTCAACACCACTAAGCAATGTTTGCAATTGGCAAGAGAAACCAAACGTTAAATGTTGGTTATCGTGTAGTTGGTTGGTCAGTTTGTAGAGACTTTGAAACGTGAAGTTCGGTTCAACTTTGTAATTACATATACACATTATTACATGCTATTACTATTGAGTGCAAATATAACATTCTTTCTTTGTTTATTTCGGATTTTATAATCGTTGTGGTTAGGTACCAGAAGGAATGGTCCTATCTCTACAATCTTTATAACAGATCTTGTATTGATACAAATGTTAAGATGTACCAGGTCTGAATGGAATCGGATGTTAATTTCGTGTTCTATGAGCTTCATGGGTATTTAAAATGTTTACCCTTCGTGGGGGAGGTACCAGATAGAGTGGACCGATATACTCCATCTCTTCACCGTATCTTGTGTTAGTAGAAATAATGGAATGTGTGAAATATGAAGAGAACCAGGGGCTTATTTCGGATTTTATAATCATTTTGATTATTCAAAACTTTGACCCTTTGTGGGGGAGGTACCAGAAGGAGTGGACCGTATTATATCATCTTCACACCAGACCTTATGTTAATAAAAATATTGGGATATGTGTAATTTGGGGACAATCGGACTCGTACATCACATTTTATAAGAGTTATAATTATTCACAATTTGACCCTATGTGGGGGAGGTACTTGATGGAGCGGACCGATATTGTCCATTTTCGCACCGGACCTAGCACTGATGCAAACATTAGGATTTGCAAAGTCGGAGCAAAATCGTATTATCCTTTCCCTGTCCGTGCAGTAAATTGTTTTCTTTGAAAATTTTTGACATTTTGTGGGGGAGGTGCCGGAAGGAGTGGACCGATTTTGCCCATATTCGAACTCGATCTAAGTTTGACAACAGCTTTATGATGTACCATGTTTGGTCCAAATGGGATACTCCATTCGAGAGTTATTGGGCGCACCAGCCAGTCAGAGAGACCGACGGACGGGCATCGCTAAATCGAATCCAAATGTCTTGAAACGTAATTGGACCAAAGAGACCCAGGGTCTAAAATCGTTATTTCGTTGAGGCACGTTTTGACCTATCAAATGACATATACCCTGTCTAACCATTGGCTGAGGGTATAAAAATCTTGATTATACCTGGCTGTGGATTTATAATTAAAAAAAGTCCAATGTACCTATTTTCAAAGCAACCTCACAAAAAATGTATTTTAAAAAATTTTCTTGAATTTCAAAACTATAATCGTCCGATTTACAAATCCGGATATATATTTCCCTCCATGTTAACTTCACCGAACAAATGTATTTTATTCTCATTAATTGTCATTCACAAAAAAACGCATTTCAAAACTCACCGAATCTGTACATTTTCCATGATCATGATGACATTTTGCATTTCCATTATTATTGTTGTTGTTGTTATGTAAATTAACATTATTTAACAAATGTGAACGCTTTGCAAACATTTTGTCAGAGTAGTTGGTATTATTTGATTTAATTTGCAAAAGTAAAATTGTTAACACTTTATTTAGCAACAAAATTTCTTCTTGTTGTTTGTTTAAAAAGCAAACATGGACGTCTTCCAGCCACAAAAATAAACTAGAAGCAGTTCAAAATAAAATAAAACACACACACTACGCGACACACACGCTTAACAGGTCCAGTAAACGAAGAAAAACTTTCACAACAAGTGTTTACAAGCAACAGCAACTTGTCAAAAGAAATGGATGGCAGTTAGAGTTGTTCAGCAGCAGCAGCCAGCCTGACCAACGTTGTTGTGTTTTTAGGGGGGAAGTTGTTATTTTTTATTTTTTTGTTTAGTTTCAGATTTTATTTCTCACTTCCGTCTAGTTTGGATTGCCGAGCCAACAATTACCGCATTTGTCGCTACACCGAAGAAATGTGGAAACAGATTGCCGGACTGCAACTTAAATTGGAAAAAATTGTGAATCAAAGAAATTACTTTTTATCAAAACAGCGGTGACGTGAAAGGGAGAGTGTCTCTGAGCGAGATAGAGAGAGAGCGAATGTGCAACAAACCCCACTATGGATCTGATAAGATCACAAGAGAAAGAGTGCCTTTCTGGAAATAAAATATAGATGACGACGGACAACTTAAGTTGTGTCAAGTGTCAACTTTATTGCCTCTCCTCCAAAGAGAGAAGGCTCCGTACAAAACAAAACAATTGATTTGGCTGACTGACTGTGAGTTGGCACAAAAGAAAACTGCAAACGGCGTTTTGTTTGCATTTTAATTGAACAGTTGTTATAAAAACTATATAAATTAAATTATTAACTAAGTTTAAGTTATTTTATTTATTAAAAAAGGCAAATAATTGCCTGTGCACATGTCGAATGCTGTAATCAGCCTGTTGGAAGGGGAAAACTGCAAGGCTTATGGCTGCAATGGAATAATGTCAAGGCCTTTTGGACAAGGTCATAGGCAGTGCTTAGGTTTTACATTTCTTTGTGGGAATGAAAAACGGAAAGAAATTGAGGAATAAGAAGAAATGGTGAAAAGGGAATAACATATGTATGTAACTATGTTTTTAGGAAGACTGTTTCAAATTTTCTTATTTCTAGAAACATAACGCTGTACATGCAAAGGGAAAAAAGAAAGGATAGATTAAAGTAAAATGGGGAAAAGTTAAAAAAAATAAATGTGTACCTAGGAATATGTTTATAGGACGCTTATTTTAACCGCAATTCATTGTAAACACTATACAGAGGACCCCACCCAAACTCAAGCAAGATGAATCAACACCCAATCGTTTCAAGAAGAAACTAAACTATGTAGAGAGAAAGGTCCAACGAACGGGAGCTATTGTCTTCTGTGTGTCTACAAGCTTATAAACGACTGAAGCGTATTGGTCACTAGGAACAACGAGGTTAGCAGTCCGGTAACAATATACGTCGATAGCCAAGCGTCACTGAAAACCTTAAACTTCTCTACCATTAAGTCTAGCGTTGTTTTGGACTGCAGGAGATCCTTGGAAAACACTAGGATGTCCATCAAGCTCTGTTGGGCTCCTGGTCATTACAATATTCCAGGCAACGAGACAGCAGACGAATGGGCTAGGCTAGGATTCGAATCAGCAGCGGTCAAACCACCCCTGTGCCACTTCTTACAGATAATTCATAACCACTACTCTGAGAGAATTCAATAAAAATGGCTGGACGAAAGGGGATGCAGCATCTCCAAAAGAATCTGGCGCATACTTCGGAGAAGAGAACAAAGTCGCTACCGTCCTTGTCGAAACCTGATTTAAAACTTGTGTTGGGTATCTTCACAGGTCACTGCAAGGTGAGGGCAATGACCTAGAAATGGAACAGCGATGATATTGATTGCTGTAGAATCTGTCAAGACGATTCTCTGTTACTGTCCAGCACTCATTAACATGAGACACAGCTTGATGGGGGAGCAAGTGTCACATGATTTGTCATCGTTCTATAAGACTGACCCTACAGTAATTCTTCGACACGGCAAAATTTCTAGCCGTGGATCACCCTTATAACTATATCTTCTTCCAGTAATATCTTCACTTTTTTCCACCATTTTTTCTTCTTCCACAGGTCTCCAAGCGGAGCGGTTACCAAACGGCAACCGAGCGTTCTTTAACATTAACCTAAAGTCCAACGATATAACAGAGATCCTTTAGATAAGGAAAGCTAGCAGACTGATCTTAGCATTCATAGCATGTAGTTATAGATTAGAGTACGAAATCCATTCTCGAAGTCCCACCCCAGGATGATGCATAACGTCTGCCCATTTGCGATATCACAATGCGCTGAATCTGCTACAACAACAAATAATTTCTTATCAAATCAAAATCAAGAGGAAGTCCTTGAAAAATGTTAAAAAGAAACTCGGAAAGTTATCATTAATACCTTGAAAAAAAAACTAAAACCATTATTTTTTTACAGAAAGTCTTCGAAATATTCACGATTTCACTTCAAGAAATCTCAATCTTAATCTTTTTGGCATGGAAGTCATCGAAAAAATTCAAGATTTTAGCTTCCTTTACAAGTATTAAAGAAAGGCCCTCGAGCGTTTGCCAAAACATATATATATATTTTAAAACCCCCTCTTCTTGTCGGTAGCCGTTGACAAGTATTTTTTAAAAGATCCTAGATTCATGGCCAAACATTTCGGCCAGCTATAATCCCTTTTGAGGTCTTCCAAAATGTTATCCACAAATCATTGGCAAGATGTGGTCAGTTTTCGCACCAGACCTAAATCAGACACAAATATTACAATAAACGAAGTGTCTATCAAATCGGATACTTCTTTCGATTTCTGCGAAATTTTTGTCGGTTTGTGGGAGAGCTATTCTAGGAATCATTAAGTTGTCCTTAAAAAACCCGCAAATATACCTCTAATGATTGTTAAAAAAATATTTCAAGTAAATCTATAATTAAAGACCTTATCACAAAATTTATTTGCTATAAACAATGTTCTCATCAAAACAACTTTAATAATTTCAAGATTTTATGCTCTACAAAACGTGCCAAAAGTAGGGAAAATAACCATGGAATATCTTCAAACGAATGACTAGGCACAAAAAAAACAAAATGGAAAACACCATTTATTTTTTATTAAACGTGAGGTAAGCATTTTCATAATTCACGTGCTTATCATCGCTGATATTTTTTTGTCTCATGGAAAAATAATCATCATTTCTATTTTTTTTATTAACAACAAAACGAGGCCAAAATGAGATTAATGTTATTGTTTATTAGATTTTTTGACGGATACTTGTAAAAAATAGAGATAGGACAACAAAACTGGAACGCGTGATTTTCCACACGTTTCAAAAAGTATTGCTTTAAACCATAGGAAAGCTAACGAAAGCGTGTGAAGATAAGAGAACTATCAATTAATTGGAATAAAGGATAAAGTACAAAAGGGCTCAAGATGACTGCTTGATGGATAGACCTAGATGATGGCTTCTTAGAAAAATATTATTTAAAAAAAATAGCAGGTTATGGCTTTTTGAAAAACGTTTCTTTAAAAAATGTCCGGTGATGGCTTCTTGAAAAAAAAAAAATACACGTTAATGTTTCTTTTTAAATTCTCTTTATAAGCCAAATTGATGAATATTTGACAAAAAAAAGAAAACAAGTGAAATAATAGGTGTGTCTGGTTACTTTTCCTGCAGGAATTGTCCAGTAACTTCTTTCTGAGAGAGTAAGGTAGTTTTATTCTCTTTTGCAAGGAAAATGCGAAAAGTAAACATACGGTATTCCTGCAGAAGCTTGCAACTAATCAGCTGATCAACTCAAAACAAACCAATTTGTCCCCCATAAGGAGAATTAAAACAAAGGAAGCAATACTAATTTTACAAGTTTTTTAAATAAAAATGTTGGAAATAGTCTTTTATTTTCTTATTACATATTAATATTTACGCTTTTCACATTTTGTGAAGTTGTTCTCCAAAAACTATTAGTCTTGCTAATTCCAAAAAAAATTTTTCAAATTGAAAGCACAAAAATAAATAAACAAACAATAGAAAACATCTGATTGAATGTCGATAAATGAGAAGAAGAAGAGTTGCAAGTGATTGCAAGAAGAAATTTTTCCTGCAAGAATTTGCAAACTCTCACTGAAAGAACTGTCAAAATTTCTCTCTCCAACCGCTCTCTTTTGCAGAACTTTTGGGTTAACAGACGACTTCCAGTAACAATTTGTAACAATTGTTACAAATTTTAGGGTAACCAGACACACCTAATATCAGTCGGTTTCGCCGACATATATATACCCTTTGCCTTGAGTTATGTTTATTCAAACTGTTGACCTTTTATGGGGGACCGATTCGTATCTGACCTAAGACTGATATTTGGACTATATCGACTACACTCTATACTTTACAGGGTGTGGTGAAAAAACTGCAACCAACTTCAGACTGCTGTCATTTCTTAGCCACTCATCCGACAGCTTTTAAAATTATTCCAGTGACAGCTCATTATATTGTTTATAAGCGTACAAAACATTTTGGTGAGAATTTTCAGAGAAAAAAAGTAATTCGTGATTGAATTCAAGCGTGATTATATTTGGCTGGAAAACCACAAGTGGTTATCGTTAGAGCACTCCAACGTTTAAATGTGAATAAATCTTTTGTGTCTCGTACCAGCGCTGGTTACCGTGACACTGGTAGCGTAGCCCGACGTCAAGAAAGTGCACGGAAGAAAACACCAACATCAGCAGAAATGGTTCGAAAAGTAAAGAAGCGACTTGATCGAAACCCGCGTCGCAGTGGCCGAAAAATGGCTCGTGAACTAAACATATCGCAATATTCCATTCGGCAAATATTGAAAAATTAGCTCGTGGTAAAGCCATTGAAAAAGTGCAAGAACTGACACCGCAACAGAAATAAAATAGACTCAACGAGCTAAATAGTTGCTTGGCTTGGCCGAAAGTGGTGAACTGCCGAATTTGGTTTTCTCCGTTGAGAAAACATTCGTGTTTACTTGCCAAAGAGGTCAGCTGAAAATGTGCACCTTCGGTTGGCCACCAGAAACTTGGAAACTTGCGGCCATGATGATGGTGTGGGCCGCCATAACAGCCGATGGTCGCTCTCCGCTCCTTTTAATCGACCGAGGCATCAGAATAAATGCCGAATAATATAGCGAAAATATTCTGAAGGGTGTATTAAAGCCTTGGGCACGCAGACATTTTGGCCGCAGACCTTGGACATTCCAACAGGACTCAGCATTTTGGATTTTATCCAAAAAAAAAAAATTAAAAAAATGTAAAAATTATGGCGTTTGTTTTTTTTGTCTCACCCTGTGCAAGTTTGCCCAAAAACATTCCCTGGCCAAGTAGACCACCCTGCTCTTTTAACCCTACATTTCTCCTATCACCAACAACTTTACCCCTTTGGAAAAAAATTGCCCCTGGAAACATTTCTAGTTTTAAGAGCATGATATGCCAATAAAATAAAACGAAAATAATACACTGGAATATCTGTCAACAATGACAAGGCAAAAAAT